TTGTTCAGCTAGAGAAGCTGGAAAACATTTTGGTTGCACGTTTAATACAATATTAAAATATGCCAAAAATGGGGAATTATTTAAAGATGAGTGGATCTTATCTACATCTGTTAAGGATAAATAAACCATTGATTGATTAAATGCTTAATGGAACTAAAAAACCATACTTTATATGATCCCCTGGTTTAACAAGATCAACCAGGGAAACTAGGAGAAGAAAATTTTGAAATTTTTAAAGCCTACACCCCCATTATTAATATATAATCAGATCGTAACGAGTTTAAACCCTTATTAAAAAGCTAAATAAAATGTATATAAGCAGGGCTTTACTTTGTCATGGTTATGGTGCATTTTCTCTAACAATTCTTGAATATATCGATGTCTCAAATTTATCTATAGAAGATGCTCGTAAATTGATACTATCAAAGGAACAGTACTATTTAGATGCTCTATCTCCTCACTATAATATAAATCCAACAGCAGGTTCTCGGTTAGGCTCACAACATACAAAAGAGTCAAAAGCTTTAATGAGTTTTGCCAAAGCTGGTGAGAATCATCCAATGTTCGGTCGAAATCTTCCTGCTGAAACTTTAGATAAAATAAGTGCTACTAAAGGAACTCCTATTTTTCAGTTTGATACCAAAGGAATACTAGTTAATATTTTCTCCTCAGCTAGACAGGCAGCTACAAATTTTAATTGTAGTAAAACTACGATTAAAAAATATGCTATAGATGGTGAATTATTTCAAGGTAAATGGACTTTATTTGTATGTAAATCACTTTCTGATTGTAATCAAAAGGAATAGTATATTTATAATTGTGTTTACTAATTTTTAGTAAACACCCCCTCCCTATTCACCTTCCCACAAGCTTATAATGGAAGATGGTCATACTTATCATATTCAGCGTTTTTCGGGTTGGTCAGATTTGAACTAACTAATTTCTAAACCCAATTTAGATGCCTGGCCCTTTGGCTTCAACCCGTTAATTTTATTTAATTATAAATAAAAAACTTAACCCACTTATAAATATATCTACACTTATCTACCCCTTTCAGAGGTAAAGCTGGGATTTCTCGATCTACCCATTGCTCTGCAATGGGGAAAAAGATATGTAGGCTCATCAGTTGATATATCTAAACGAATGTATAATTATTACTCTATAGGATATTTTACTCGCAATAAAAATAGTTATATAAATAAAGCTCTTCTCCATTATGGTTATGGTGCATTTTCTCTAACAATTTATGAGTATATAGATATTTCTCATTTATCTAAAGAAGTTCAAAACTGTATATATTTATAATGCACTACTTCATCATGGTTATTCAGCATTTAGTTTATCAATTCTTGAATTAATTGAGATTAGTAATCTTTCAAAAGAAGAAGCAAGAAAAAAAATACTAGAACGTGAGCAGTATTATCTAGATGAGATCTTTTCTGTAGATCAACCTAATACTTATAATATACTACAGGTAGCAGGTTCTTTGCTAGGTTATAAACATACTCAAGAATCATTAGCTAAAATGAGTGAAGCCAAAACTGGTGAAAATCATCCTTTATTTGGGAAGTTACTTTCAGCTGAAACTAAAGCAATACTTAGTGAAGCTAGATCAGGTGAAAATAATCCTATGTTTGGGAAATCTCATTCTATAGAAACTATAACTAAAATAAGTACTACTTTAGGTGGGGGAACTATCTATGTTTATGATTCACAAGACACACTTGTGAATACTTTTTGTTCTGCTAGAAAAGCGGCTGAACATTTTGGTTGTAATCATAAAACAATTTTGAGTTATGTAAGGAATCAACAGATATTTAGGGAACAATGGATTTTATCAAAATCTTTAATAGATTAGATAAATAAATGGTAGGGGAATAAATATACCATTAATTATATAAACACCCAACTTCTTTTTACGTTAGATAAAGTCTAACACTTCAGTGAATATGTTCGGTAGAACTGGAGAAAGTAATCCACGATTTGGTATAACTCACACAGAAGAGACTAAAGCTTTAATAAGTGAAGCCTTCTCAGGTGAAAATCATCCTTTCTTTGGTAAAACTCATACAGCTGAGACCAAGAATAAACTACGTGAAGCCAATTTAGGAAAATCTCCTTCTGCTGAAACTCGTGCTTTAATTAGTGCTGCTAAAGGAACCGCAATTTATGTATATGATTTAGAGGGTAGACTTGTCAATAGCTTTACTTCCGATCGGAGATCGGCATTACATTTTGGTGTTTCTAAGGATACTATTTTAAAATATGTAAAAAATAGTATAATATTTCAAGAAAAATGGAAATTGACAACATTCCCAGCTCCGCTGGGGAATAATAGTAGGGCCACTAAATACTATTATATTTCTGTTGTTCTTTCTAGTTATAGTACTTTTGTTACCACCCCCATAATGGCTAATATATTCTAATTATACTTATTTGTAATAAAGTATTATATGTAATATTGAAATAGTTTATCTTTTGTATAAGAATAATTTTAGTAAATCAGTTCAAGTCTGGTATTAGCCCCGATAGCTTAGTGGTAAAGTGCAAGTTTGAAAAACTTTTGATGGTTGTTCGATTCAACCTCAGGGCAATAATTTTAATTATAAATAACAGTAATTATATATTCAATCTTATTAGGATCGTTTAAATTAAGGCAATTAAAACTTATATTGTTTAAGTCTGCGGGTAAACAGTTTACTATAAACTCCCTATTATATTGGAGTGTAATTTAAATTGGAAAAATAGATAAATTCATTTTTATCAAATCAGAGTTCGAGTCTCTGCATTTCTCCTTATATACTTAAATGTATATATAATCATATATTAGAACATAAATCTTATAATAAAACATTTGATCGGGTATTAATAAGCAATTAACTGTTAACGTATCTAATTTATTTGGGTTAATTTATTAATATAGACTATCTTTAATAAGAAAAATCATACCGAAATCAAAATATAAGACCTGATATAATTATTCTGTGCATAATATTTTACACATCATCTTTATAAAAAGTGGGAGAAACTCTAATAAATTAATGTGAAATATTATATCTTTAGTAGAGATTATTGCGAAGCCAATATACTGGAAGCAATAGGCAAAGAATAGCTATAGTAGGCTAGGATTTATACCATAGGTTATTAATTTATAAATTAATTTACCTAATTTTATAAAAATGATAATAATGTCACGACTACAACCTTTTTTTTCAACCATTGAATTAGCAATGGGATCTTTACATTTAGCTGAAATTCAAAAGATTACTAAACAAGAATTAAAAAATAAATCAGGGATCTACGGGTTTATTTGCAAATCTAATAACAAATTATATATTGGTTCTTCTGTAAGTTTGTCTGATAGATTTAATGAGCATAAAAAAGGATTTAGATCAAATATTTTACTTCAAAATGCTATAAATAAATACAATTTGCAAGATTTTATTTTCATTGTTTTAGAATATTGTGAGCCAGAGAAGTTACTATCTCGAGAGCAATTTTATCTAGATTCTTTGAAACCGGAGTATAATTTACTTAAAACTGCTGGTTCTTCGTTAGGCTACAAACATACTGAGGAGTCTCTTGCTAAAATGAGAGGTAGATTTCTTTCAGAGGAGACTAAAGCAAAAATGAGTCAAGCCGAAACTGGTGATAAACATCCAATGTTTGGTAAAACTTTTAGTCTTTCTACTGATACTAAAGTTTTAATGAGTATTGCTAAAGGAACCATTATCTATGTTTATAATTCACATGGCTCACTAGTTAATACTTTTAGTTCAGCAAATAAAGCGGCTGAACATTATAAAAGTTCACATCCTACTATTATAAAATATGCTAAAAATGGCGAAATATTCAAAGACAAATGGTATCTCTCTTATTCTAAAGATTTACTGATATATTTCTATACACCCTCCCTCCAACATTTTCTTACTTTAAAAAATATTAGAGAGATTGGAATTCCTTTTTTTAAGGTTAATTGACTTTTATTAGAAAATATGAGAACTCATAAAGAATCAGGTAAAATATATGTAGGTTCAGCGGTTGATTTATCTAAACGATTGAAAGATTATTTTTCTCCTTTTTATTTAAAACGAGCAAAGAATTATATTTGTAATGCTTTAATCTATCACACACATTCTGCTTTTAGTTTATCTATTCTTGAATATATTAATATATCAAATTTATCTAAAGAAGAGGCTCTACAATTAATACTTTCACGTGAACAGTATTATCTTGATTTTATTTTTTCGAAAGATGAATCAAATACATATAATATATTAAAGGTAGCAGGTTCTTTGCTAGGGTTTAAGCATTCTGAGGAAACAATTGCTAAAATGAGTGGAGAAAATTATCCTATGTTTGGTCGAATAGGAGAGAATCATCATTTATTTGGAAAATCACATTCTGCTGAAACTAAAGCCCCATTGATTGTAATCAGTGGGGGCGAGAAAAATCCACGTGGGCCCTTTTGTGTTATAATTCTGGTTCGGGTTACCTATAATCGAAAATAGAATTGATTTCGGAAGAGCACATAAATATTTATTAATAAATACTTGCTGTCTCTGACTTTACTTTCAATTACGGCATTCATTAATTAAAAGAGGTGACCATGAAGCTCAAAACATAATGAATAGTTTTGATATATTCACGGTTTCTTATTAGCCTCCGCGTTACCAGAGGAGCTGGTTCATAGTGTCCCCATTAAACCCATTCAGTAATCCACCTACATTCTCTTATATTATATGTATCTTCGTTGGGGTCGCATTAACGATCCCTCAGGTGCCCAGGCATTCCAAAATGACTTCTTTTACCGAAATAGCGCCTTATTATCCCGAAATTAATCGGTTATTAAATTGTGCACCAGCAGTTTACCAATCGAGAATTCCATGGTACCTACCGCTCAAACACCTACTTCCGTCTTGCGGAATAAATGGAATAAACTATATATTCTGAAAAATATAAGGAACTGTAGATTTTGGCATTACTATGATTTATAATAAAACACTCGAATGGATTCGAACCATTATTATTAAGCTTAGAAGGCCTATACTTTTCCAATTAAGCTACAAGTGCTTATTATTTTTTTATCTAATTGAGCCCTGAACATTATTTATAGGGAAAGAATAAAATTACCCTATAATAGAAAATAATGGGATTATGATAATTAATATTATCACAAAATTGATAATAAATATTATCTAAAAGAACGAGGGCTAAATCCAATTATATTAACAAATCTATAATTAACCCCCCGAATATTACTACTTATTTCCTGAAAATAAAAATATTAATAGATCAATATTTTAAGATAAATTAATTGATAAAAACGGTCTGTTATCTTTATTATGCTTAACTAAATGAGTAATGTTAATAGAAGTAAGCATTGCAAGAGATATTTTTATTAATTATAGCGAAGCCAGATGTTTTTATATTAAAAATACGCGAAGCTTGAAAAATCTGATGAAATACAATACTAAAGAATGGGGTGTAAAATATTTTATCCAGAATATTTAGAATACAATTATTAAGGCTAAAGGTGTTCCATCAGGTATACTAGATTTTGATGCATTACAACGTATTCATAAAGGTGAGGTTATTGAGTTCAATAGAAAACAGTTGCATAAATCTTTAGAGCTGTTTTCTATTTTTGAGAAGGAATTACCTGGTAATGTTAAACTAACAATACCAACAGGTAAGGTTCCAATAATAGGTGAGGATGGGTTGATTAGTGGATATAAAGATGTTCATAAATCAGTATTAGCGAGTATTAAAGAAGGTGCATTGAGGTCAGGATTGTCATTGAGATTACAGAAATTAATTGATAAATATAGATCAAAAGTTGACTCAACATAGAGGTATAGATGGGAACTATACTACACGATTGTGTATCAACACCCCACCGGAGTAATTTTTAGCCATTTAAGACGATATTGAGAATACTAGGGTTATCTAATTATGAGGGAGACTCAGTATCAAATTTAATTGGCTAAAACGGGTGTGAAAAAGTGAATCTATAAAATTAACATACATTATAACATGCCAATAAGATAAATAATTCACATTCATTAAATTTAATAAATTTGATTAATCAGATAAAGCAGTAATAGAATAAAATATTTCATTATCTTTACTAAAATTTAGACAAGTTTAAATTAGTAGGAAATTTAACTATTCCTATGTAATTTATCGAGCCCCTATGTATTTTATCTATCCCTACCCAATATATTTTATACATTGGGGGTTTTCGACAACTTTCAGTTTTCTCTTTTCCGGCAGGCCATTTAAAAAAAAAATGGCAGGGGAGTGTAAATTTACGGGCAAGAAAGGATTCGAACCTCCGCATGCTCTCACATATTTAATTTCAAGTTAAACGCTTTAAACCACTCAGCCACTTGCCCGTATAAAAATTTGATACTAAAAAAAGTAAGAAAAATAATAATTAACTAATAAAAATAAAATTAATGCAATTATTGCCAAAAAAGAAGAAATAGCCCGTGCAAAAATACAAATATAATCGAAAACAGGCTGAATAGACCCGAGCTCAAAGATACCGGTCCCCTTTGGGGTTGAATTAAAAAAAATCGTTAAACGCTTAATAATTTCACTTATTTTGAAAGATGTATACCATAAACTTTAAGCAGGTGGCTCTTCAGAAACAGGTTAAAATCCACTCGTTTCTAAATAATTTACCATTTTTTACATATCTCATAATTCTTTGATGATTAGTATTAAATTCTTTAGCAGCTTCTCTAGCAGAACTAAAAGTATTTACTAGAGAGCCTCCTTTCGCAATACTCATTAAAACTTTGGACCCCACTGCGCGGGGATTTACCCCCAAAAAACATAGGGTGATTTGCACCAGACAAGACATTTTAGCTAATGATTCTTCACTATGTTTAAACCCCAATGAATTACCAGCTTTTTTAAGTATATTATACTCAGGTTCTAATGAATTATTCTTTAAACAGACTTGAACATATAAGTTCTAATACCTTAATCTAAATGATCCTAATAAGATTGAATATATAATTAATGATTATCTATATATAAAATAAAAAGTTATTAAATCAATTTTTTTGATTATCTTTAAGAGCAGAAAGACCATAATGTAAAAGATTAATATAAGAATTCCCTAGCTAGGGAATTAATCATTAAACAGACATTAGCAGCATCCATGCTGTGTATAAAATTAGCCATAAAAGCAGCTTTTTGTTTACTTAATCTATCTCATCAGTTGGTACTAAAATAGTATAGGTAGAAGTTTAACTTAAAGAAGCTTTCACTCTTTATTTTCACCACTCAATCTTGCCTTAGTTTCAGCTCCCAGGGCTGAATGTAATTTACCGAACATATAATGATTTTCTCCACTAATTTTATAGCTGCAATTGCATCTGGTGAATGTTTTTTACCAGGATTTTCTTCACCTTTATTTGCACCTTTTTTCGCAAGAATCATTTTAGCAATAGATTCCGGTTTTCTCGGCTGAATGTTTAAAACCTAATAAAGAACCGCAGTTGAAGCTATATAAAACTCCCCGCCTAATAATATATTATATATTATTCAATATATATATTTATATATATAGGCTTGCGGGCGGGTAAGGGTAACAACGTGTCAATAAAGAATTGTTCACAGAATTTTAGTTTTCGCTTCATCTGTTGGTAAATTAGAAATATCAACGTAATTCAGTATAGTAAGACTAAATGAGGAATAACCGTGAGCTAATAAGGCTCGGCAAATATACATAGATTTTGCACGTTGTAAATGATTTATATTAAAATCATTTCTTAATCGACGTGATAAATCCACTGAAGAACCTACATATTTTTTCCCTGATTCATTATGTATAAAAAGATATACACAGTTTCCCGTAGCAGTATTATTATTAAAACCAAATTCTAATGTAATAAGCATCAAGAATGGCAGTTCCTATATTTAAGCATTCGTTGAAAAAAGCCATCGTACCATATTTTTTTGTATTTAAAACCACTAGATACTCTAGTGGGATTTTAAAGGACCATTTTGTACTGAAGGAAAAGATTATATAAATAGACTTGGGGGCCAATATTATAATAAAGTAATCGCCCTATTTATATTTATATATAATTAATGATTATATTATATAAAAAACGGCTTCGCGTTTTTTAAAGATCGGGGGGTGTTAACTGAATGTACAGGTAATTGACCTTCAAATGCGTGGAACGCTGGAGGAGACGTGATTGCCCACTCTAACGTAGTTGCTGTAATTGTATTACCAGTACCGATAAATATACTGTAAAATCCACAATCATTTGTTAATAAGAGAAAAAACATCAAATATATGTTAATATATAATTAATCATTATCTGAGGTATTCTCAGTACAAGCAGAAGAATTACCAATAATAGATAATCTCCATTTATCTTGAAATAATCTACCATTCTTAACATATCTAACAATAGTAGGATGTGAAGAATTAAAATGTTCGGCTGCTTTTCTTGCTGAACAGAAAGTAAAAGCTAATGTACCTTGAAGATCGTAAACATAAATTGTACCTAATCCTCTAGCCATACTAAGTTTTGATTTAGTATTTGCTGAAGGAGATTTCCCGAATAAAGGATGATTCTCTCCTGATAAGGCTTTACTCATCAGAGCGAGAGTTTCAGGAGAATGGGACTTACCAAACATTGGATGATTTTCCCCTGTTTTACCGAACATTGGATTATCCTCACCAGTTCTTTTACCTATCATGATTTGACTAAGTTTAAGTTTAGTCTCCTCAGAATGTTTAAATCCTAGCGAGGAACCTGCTACCTTAAGTATATTGTATTGAGGCTCAAGATTATTTATATAATCTTGTTCCCGCTCCAGAAGCAATTTTCGTGCTTCTTCAATACTTAGATCCGAAATCTCTACATACTCAAGTATTGTTAGAGAGAACGCGGAATAACCGTGTTTAATTAGGGCATTATAGATATAAGAATTCCCTTTAACACTTTGAATGAAACGTTCTGATAAATATTTATCAAAACGTTTTGCTAAATTAATCGCAGAACCTATATATGTTTTATTAGACTCCTTGTGAGTCCATAAATATATACCTGCTTTGCCTTTATTATCCGAGTAAATTTTTGATTTCTCGGTATCCGTATTATTGTATGTAATAACTGGTGTGAAAGATTTGTTGTTAATTATTATAACTATGTTGTTTGTTGTCATTTTTTTGTTTTATAGTGAAATAAGAGTATAGGTAAATTGATGAATCAATAACCTTAATTAAATAAATCCTAGCCTAATATATTGAGTTCGCAATAAAGATAAAAATTTCACATTAAAAAATTTTGATATTTGGAATACCCCCGCTGATTAAATTTTATGAAATATTATTCTATGTACAAAATTATCATATTAGGTCTTATACATTGATAGTGGTAAGATTATTAAGAATAATCAATATTAATAAATTTACTTTGGTATTGTTATAAACTTTAAAGTTTATTATAAATTAAGATCCATTTTTTAAGTAAATTGCTTATTAATACCCAGTCGAATGTTTTATAATAGATCTATTTTTATAAATATATGATTATATATACATTAAGTATATACTGGGAGATGCAGAGACTCGAACTCTGATTTGATAAAAATTCATTTATCATATTTTACCTATTAAATTACATTCCATTAATGTGATAGGGTTCTTTAATTAATAATTAAGTTAATAGACTTGAACAATAATAGTTTAAATTGCTTAAGTTCAAATAATCCTAATAAGATTGAATATATAATTAATGATTATCTATAAATAAAAAATAAATATATTTATCATTAGTTGTTAGATTCGAATTAATATTTGCATGCGAAATTTCACCTAATAAAAAGCGAGATTTTCTTTACATTTTTTAAAGATCGGGGGGGGTGTTAACTGAATGTACAGGTAATTGACCTTCAAATGCGTGGAACGCAGGAGGAGACGTAATTGCCCACTCTAACGTAGTAGCAGATTTAGTATACCCAGCAGGAGTAATGCTAGGGCTAAAGAATGCAGGAACTGCCCACGGATCATTTGCTAATGTATCTTCAGGTTGAGCTAAAGTATCATAAATAATATATATAAATAATATAGTAGATACTATAGATATAATAGAACCCATAGAAGAAATTAAATTCCAACCTTCAAAAGAATCTGGATAATCTGGTATTCTTCTAGGCATCAATTTTGTTATCATAGGAGAATTTAAACCCTATTTCTCCACCTCACGGTGGGGTTCAGACTATATCATCAATTATAAAAATTAAATAATTGTTGGGCGCTCTTGTCCGGATTATTGCTAGTGTGGCTCACCGATTAGTCGTTGAACGTTCGTATAACTATTAAAACACTGATATACGCTTCGCTGCAGATTGAGTTATTAAAAACTTGTTAATGCAATTCACCCAATTTTCTATAATATTATAGATTTTTAATACTATAGGGGCATTTTTATACTTTAATGAAGTTTATTTCTACTAAATAATTTTCCTTTAAATGGAAGACCATTTTTTTTTTAATATACTTAGTTAATGTATCTTTCCCCATATTGAATTCTTTTGCACAATTAATTGTAGAGAATTCCCCTATAAACGCCATCTAATCCAACGAGAAATTCAAATTTATCTAAAAATTCAGCATGAAAAAAGGGGGGATTTTAGTTATTAAAGCTAAAATCAAATTAGGAATAATTAATTATAATTGAAAATAGTATTTAACCCCTACTATTATTCCGAACTACGTTTGGATGTAGATAGGATCCATTGTTCTTTAAACAATTTACCACTTTTAGTGTAACTAATAATAGTCTTTTTATCTACTTTATAATGAATTGCAGCCTTTCTTGCTGAAGTAAAAGTATCAATAAGAGTAGAATCATCTAAAGAATAAAAATAAATTGTATACCTCTCTAATATTAAGCTGAACTTAAAAATACAAGGGATATTATTAAAAATATAAATAAAAGAGACAAACCTGCTTGTGGAGATAAATTAAGAACTAAATCTGGATATATTTTAAATAATATATCTATATAGTGTTGTTCTTTAGAAAGTTAATTTTCCTTTGAAACATCACCTGAGGCACCAAGATCTTCTAATATAGCTAAGGCAAAATTATATTTACCATAATAATTTATATTATTATAAATTAGGAAATTTCTACGTAAAATACTAGGAGTCCAATAGCTTAATAATCTAGTGGAACCGTTCCAAGCACTACCAACATACATTTTTCCTGTAATTAAATTTGTCCATTGATATATAATAGATCTTTTTTTATTTTCAGATTAGAGGGGGGGGAGTCAATTAATTTCTTAATTAACCAAGCGTAGCATTAAATATAGGGGGTGTAAATAAATTATCTTAATTTATATTTCATAGAGTCATG